CCACAGTATATGGGCAGAGGGGAAAAGACCCATGTGATTTGTGTATCAAATTTAAATAAAAAAGGGGGAGATGTTGGGGGTTGCTCGAGCCGCTCCCCTAAGGTGGCGCCCGTTTCCTGCTTCCGGGTCCCTGTTGCCGCGCAAACAGCCCTGTCAAAATGAGTGTCTACCTAGCTACCGGTGACTGTGGCCTATCAGCATGCGACTTCTGTTTTGTATTGATTGGTTACTCAGATCCTATATAAGTGTGTGTTTCTGCCCCCAACGGGCAGAAGAGGAAGAAACTTGAGGGTGGCGGATCTTGTCAGATCCGGTTTCGCTGTACACAATAAATATTGAGAGCTGATCCAAACACAGTTACGTCTTTCGTTGCCCGCGGCACCATATACCTATGTCTTCAGCATTTATAGTCTATAATGGTATACAGTGAAGCCTGAGACCTTCATACCTGCTCACTCACTGTACTCAAAGTAACTTCTAGTCATGCAAACTCCATTCCTGATAAGTTCCCTAGACAAGTGTACTGTTTGTTTATCTTTCACTGTATTTTTACTGTGCCTTTTCTACATTTGGACATGCAAGTGCTTACATTACATTGCCTACAGTACTCAGTGCAGTGATGTGCTGTGCGTGTGTGTGGTCTGGGAGCCCTAGGCTGCGCCAAGCAGCCCAAGGGGGCAGTAGTCTCTACCACTTATGTTTGTGTATGAACCCTCTATGATGTTTGTGCGGTGACAAAATCACTCAAAGATACATTTCTCAGAACATATCCCTGTTGTTAAGTGACGCGTGACTGTATTGTTCCTCTGAAAGCACTAATCAGTCTTTTTTTTCTTCTGACTGCTTCCTTCTCCTCTTTCCACTCCCTGCTGATTTTTAATGTCACCTACTTATATTTGCATAAATTTTGCTGTGTGGGTCCAGATGTGATTTCTTTTAGGTTTATCCTGTTTAGAGTTTTTAGTATTCTTGAATTTTTAGGTAATTTTTTTTTTTTATCGGTACTGGAGATCGAACTTACCACCACCTGCTTGCAAGGTGCTTATACCGCTGAGCTAAATCCCCAGCCCCTATTTTTAGGTAATTTTTCACTAGTTCTCTTCAAAAGAGTGCTTATCTCTTCAGCCAGGGTCTTTTGTTAGTCTCTTTTTCCTTTTGGGACTTCAGTGATACCTATACATTATTGTTTCACACTTTATCATCAATAACTCAGACCCTTTTTCTATATTTTTCATTCTTTTGTTTCATTGTGACATTAATGGCCCACTTCCTATCACCAAATGCATAGGCAGTCAGAGATTAAATTAGACCTTATTTTGAAATTTAACTTCTGGGACTTTCGGGAGAACATGGCGGGTAGATAGCAGCAGCTTCAGAGGCTCTCTGAGAAACCGCACTTAAAATCCAGGAATGGTGCCAGGCGAGAAATCCTAAGCTAGGGGAGATATACTTTGCCAACCCAGGAACAAACTAAACTAAGAGAAACCAACTGGAAATGCAATCCCGGTGATACAACAGGAACAGATAACGTCTCAGCATGGAAGCTGGACCCCACGCCACTGGAAGCTGCGATTTGAATTTCCTGCAGACGCTGCTGCATCCCAATCGGCATGACAAGGAGAGAGGCGCGAAAGCTCTGAGAGTGGGAAGTGGTGAATAGAGTTGAGAGCGGGACTGGCCGGGAGTCCTGCATCGACCTGTGGTGAGTGAGCAGACTGGGGACCCTTCCATAAAGTAGGAGGCTTCAGCAAAGGACATACTGGGACCGGGCGGGTTGGCCGGGATAGGATGCTGCAGTGACTTCAGTCACATATTCCCCTCTCAAGCGAGATTGGTGGGGAATGCCTGGGCTGCGTGATGCCACTGACTAAGACCCAGTAGGCTAGCCCAAACCAGGTCCCGTGCCTGGAGGTGCACCCTAGCAGTGAAGCCTTCAGTAGGTTCACCTGGAGGGGCGGGCCCAGCACAGGCTGCCCAGGTCTGTGTCTCCCTAGTACACTGCAATGGGCGGGACCACCTAGCTGGCACAATTCAAACAAACTGTAACTGACAAAGAAAGAAACTGGGCCTACTATATACGCTTATATAAAAGGAACAAAAAATATGAGAAGACAGAGCAACAAGAAAGGGTCCTCGGCCCCCAATCCTGAGAAACATGCAATATCAGACATGGCACCAATAGACATAAAGCATTATCTCCAGAGCCTCACAGATGAGTTCAGGAATGAAGTTATTAATGACCTGAAGCAAGATATAAGTAGAATAGTTACAGAAATGCTAAGTACCACCCAAGAAAAAACAGATGGTGGAATGGAAGAACAGAAAAAAAGGGGAGAATTGTTTGATGGAGAAAATAGAGAAAGCATAGAATACGTGAAGCAGGTTCAAAGAGATTACCATGAAACTAAAAACTCTATTGAAAACTGGCATAACAGCTTGAAAGAAACTAAGGATAGATTATCTGAACTGGTGGGAAGATTTGTAATATGGGAGCATGAAATGAAAAACTTCTTAAAAGTAACAAAAAAACAAACATCAACAATACAAAGGCTAAAAGATGATAAGAGGATCTATAACTTAAGAATTAAGAACATAAAAGAAGAAGTAGGGGCACAAACAAATGGACTACAAAAGCTATTCACAGAAATAATCCAAGAGAATTTCCCTAATTTAGCAAATGGTAAAGATACTCGGATGTATGAGACATACAGAACCCCAGCACTTACAACCCAAACAGAGCTACACCCAGGCATATAATAATCAAAATTCCAGAAATCCAATATAAGAACAGAATATTAAAAGCCATCAGAGACAAGAAACAGATCACTTACAAGGGAACACCCATCAGAATTACAGCAGACTTCTCGGCACAAACCATCAAATCACAAAGAGTGTGGGGGGAAATAATTCAAGCTTTGAAAGAATAACCTCCAGCCAAGATTGATATATCCTGCACAACTATCCCTAGAAATTGATGGAAAAACAAGGTGCTTCCAGGATAAAGAGGAACTAGGGGAATTTGCAACCACTAATTCAACTCTACAGAGGAAACTGCAGGATATTCTAAAAAAGGAAAATACCAAGATTCCAGAAATAGTGGCAGAGAGGCCACAATGAATGGACAGAAAGTGAAATGAAGAAGACAAACTGACAACAAATGACAGAAAAAGTGCTCAACAGAAATGAGGCAGAGAAGATCGGATGGTAGGAACAGCTAATTTGGAGAAAACAAGACATCATAATAGCTAGTGCTGATTTAGTATCATCTTGTTTTGAAGTCCCATCAAACTTGTATTCTTCGGTCTCCATCGGTCTTAAAAGGTTATATCTTAATTGGATTTTAATATATAAGATAATAAAATAAGTAAAAACTTTTATAGGCAAGGAGATTATACAGAAACCATTGTTCATTTTCTGTTAGTTGGTTCTAACTACCCTGTAATAATGTCATTCTCTTGAATGGTTTTATAGTGTCTTGATATGTTTGGTGCTACAGTACACGAAGTTATACTCAAAGATTTTAAGGAAAGAGACACTATGGTAACTATTTTTATGACAGGATATCTTGTGGTGAAACACTATTTTACTTAAATGGTTATGTTTTGACCTGCACTGTTCTGTTGTTATGCCCTCTTTTATTTCAATCCCTTTTTAAAAAATTATTTACTTTTTCTTTTTATCTTTTTAATTAAGGGAAAAATAAATAAAGAATTGCAGGATACATTATAGTAACCTACTTTGATTTCCTATTAACTTGATTTGAAATCCTGTATTCCCCTCACCATCTTGTTTTGACTGATTTTCCCCTATTCTGCTTTGCTTAATAGTACCAAGTTCGAAAATATAGTGAAGACAATAAGATTCATTATGATGCCCATTCCAGTTGACTATTATCTTCTTTTAAAGTCCTGTAATGTCTCCAATGCTTTGGTTTTATTCTTTACTGTTTTGCTCAGTTTTATTATAACTGGCAATTCTTCTTAAAAGAGCAAGAGGCAGTATGGTAATCATTGTTGATCACCTTGTATTTTGTTTTTACATTATCTATTATGTCCATCCTTTTGATTTGACTGACTCTGTTCTGATATGTCACATTTGGTTTTACTCTCTTCAAAAAAAGTAATAAGAACTGTGAGAGTAATAAAACCCAAAATGTGTAATTGTCATTGTATAAAAGAAAAGAAAAGAAAGTGCTCTAAAGGTTATAAATGCATATATGTTTAAGTGTATAAGTTAGATAACCATATTACTGAGGTTTTTTTGGATCATTGAACAAAACTGTCTGCACTCTCACTGTTTGAAAGTCCACTTTATATGCTTCAATTTTGTAACTTGAATAACTATTTCTAAGATGAGAATATGTGATCTATTAACTAGTGATTTCTTACTGTTTATTTTTTACATTTTGTATTATTTGTATCCTTTTTCTGTTTTTTTCTTTTTCTCCTTAAATAAAAAAAAAGAAAAGAAAAGAAATTTAACTTCTGATTGTCTGTATACTTCATGATAAGAAGTAGCCTGTTGATTTTTGCTATCTATTTAGGATTAATTCAACAGAATGAATCAGGAAAGCCTTACGTCAGAAATGTAAGATTTCCATAGAGGTTTGGAAACACATCATGTGCCTCTAATGACCAAATTAAGAAACAGCTTGTCATAGGTATGAACACAGAAAGACATGCTCCTGTTAATGCTTTCAGAATTTGATCCAAGCCAGTCATAAAACTAGCATAAAATAATGAAACTTACGTTTTCAATATTATGGTTTGCTGTGGGTAGGTCAAATTGTAAGCCTTATAGTTTTTGCTTTGAATGCAATGTAAAAATGGATGTGACTGTTCCTTTGAAAATGACAGATGGTTTAACTTTGATTCATTGTTGTATATTATAAAATAAATGTGGGACTTTAAGATTACTTTTTATGATATATGATCCTGATCTTGTTTTTTAAAATATCCAACTCTATGATGTAGGTTTGATATTTTAAAATAATATCTCAAGTACTTACCTGGCAGGGGAGACACCATGATTGTGAGGGTAGTTTCCTTAGGATGAGGTTTATCCATTGCACTCCTGATGTGCCGACCCCTGAGATTTCCCCAAAGGTGGGAAACTCAACTGCATAATCTATGATAATGGGGACTGCCTTTGTGTTTTCCCTTGGTTATTTGATAAGAATAGTGAAATGAAAGCATTTCTGCTTGAAAGACACACTTACAACTACCTTTCCTCCAAAAGGTGAACATTCTGCTGAAGTTTTAGTGAAATGCTCGTCCTGACTTGTGTAGAAATTGTGCCGAGCGCTGTGAGGCCACAGTGAAACTCAAGAAGCAAGCTGCAACAGAAAGACAGCTGGAAAGCCACAGCATTTGGGGATTAAACACATCTCTGAATAACATAAATCAAAAAACTCTCAACAGAAATTAAACATTTCTGGATGAATGAAAAGGAAAATACGGTAGATGTTTGTCATTTCAGCGGAAGTACTGCTTCAGAGGAAGCTCAGAGCAGTGAATGAGCTGAGCATCTAGTTTACACAAATTGAAGAAGAGCAAACTGAGTCCAGTGGAAGCAGAGGAAAGGAAAAAACAAAACAAAACAAAACAAAAACTAACAAGCAATAAAGGTCAGCATATAAATCCATGGATTTTGAAAACAGAGAGTTACTAGGAAAAAAATCATTTTTCTGTCTGTGCCATCTTTTGTCAGCACAAACTTGCCCTCAGCCCAACTTCCTATCACTTGCTACTGAGCATACACTTAGCAGTTTTTGGCTTGCCATGCGCAGAAGCTGGACCATTCCTGCCCCTTATGCGGTAACATTCTGGAAGAGTTCCAGCCAGGAGACATCAGGAGATATTAATGCAGAACGGGAGATATCAATGGGCACTGGCACTCAAGCAGCAAAGAAGCCCAGCCCAAAAGGCTCACTCCCTGGGAAGACTCTCTCTCCCTCCCTCTTTGTTGTGTGCAGAGGGCGGATTCCCAGGGTAAACAGCTGATCTGTTGGCTGTTTGTAAACTACTAGACTGTGGGGGAAAAGTCTTCTGCCTGTGCTGGGGGTAGGAGAATCCCTGTGGGTCAGTTGGGGTTGTATTTTGTTGATGGCCCTTGCAGCATGCAGATCTGCTCTCAGCGGCAGTGACAGCTGAGTGGAGGCAGCTGGAGGGGCAGAGAGTGTCACTCTTAGGCTTAGCCATCCACAACAGGAAACTGGGAAACATAGCCACAGTCTACCTGAAAGTGCTGCTTTTCTCTGTAGGTGCAGCTGGCAGTGTGCCTTCCACCTTAGAGACTTGAACCGGTCACTTGAAGAGTGTCCAGGTTGCTTGTGGGTCACAATCAGTGAGTGCTTTGCACAAATGCTTTTTGGTCTCTGTCTCTGCTTCTCTGCTTGGAAGTTCTGGGCACTAACCCTACCCTCCTTCAGGCTTTTGTCTATCAGAGTATTCAAATTTGACATTTTAGTGCTCAGCAACTCTGGGAAAAAGAGTTAAGTACAATGCTTCCTCACATGGAACAGAAAGAAAAAGTTATGGTCATTCTGAAAGAGGTGATGTTTTGCAACAAACCAGCAGAAAAAGTGATGGCTTTGCCTCAGGCTCTGGGTGAAGTGCTTGGTTCTTCTCCAGGTCCCAATGCCCACCTACAGCTGTGTCCTCCTGGGTTACTCCTCCAGAGATAGTTTTCCCCTCCACTCGACTTGGTTTTGCTTATGTTGTGGTAACTGTGGTTTCAAGTTTATGCCCCTATCTAAAAAGATCTGTAACTTGCATTTGCTGACTGCATTTACATAGTGCCTAACTTTTAAGATTTTGTCACCAAGCAGGTATGTTTTATGATTTGATCTAGTGAGATGATATTTTTTTCTGGACACACATATTATTTCCTGTTCTTAGGCTGCCAGACATTGGGATATCATCTATATTAGAAGTACCCATTACTTACCTAGAGGGGCTGAGAACCACATCTGTAATTGTTCAGGTTTAGGGGTTTGGGTTGTACTTGCTACCCTCTCCCAAGTTGGGATATTAGATGGTTTTTTGGATTGACTAAGAGACATTCAGCCAATAAGGTATCCACAGTTCTGGACTCATGCCTGGACTTTTTTGTGGACATAGGGGAGATTCTAAGGCTTAAAAGCAAAACTATCCAGGTGTAGTGGTATACTCCTATAATTTCAACACTCAGGAGGCTGAGACAAGAGGATTGCTGTAAATTTGAGGCCAGCCTGGCTACATAGTGAGTTCAAAGCCAGCCTGCACTATATAGTAAGACCATGTTTCAAAAAAAATGACATGTTCCCACACAGGGCTAGAGATGTTCATGCCCCAAAGGGTTCATCTTTATCAGGGAATACTTTGATGAAAGCTGAAATCAGTTATAGATAATTCACAGGGTGCCCTGTCCGAGTCCCGCGTGGGAACTAACTCAGGGGAAGGCTCTGTATGGATTCTCTGACCTAATCCCAGGGATTTCAACCTTATCAGATCATGACTCTGGGGCTGAAAGGCTCAGAAGCTATCAGGAGATGCCCTGTCAGGTCCGCACTAATGGGTCAGGGACTAACTCAGAGATAGGCCTATTAGGGTTCCCACAACTGTCCACAAAACCTATTTTGGGGTATGCCTCATTCACCCACTCAGACTCCCTGGTTAAATGGCTGCTCAGCTAGTCCCTTTTTCAGTTACAGATACTCAGCAGCTCAGGGAAAAACTAAGTAGATTCTCAGAGGATCCTGAAAAGTCTCCTAATGGTAAAAGTTTACTGATCTCACTGACCTGGGGAAATGTCCAATTTACCCTGGTTTCTTGTTGCACGGAGTAGATAGGCAAAGGATTATAAGGGCTGCAAAGCAGGCTAACGATAAAGTCATTGCAGCTTCCCCCTCCGGTAATCAGCCAACTGCTGCGTTATTTGGATTCCAAGAGGGGCCTGAGTGGGACTGCAACACAAAGGGCGGAGAAGCCAAACAATAGTTATACATCAAGCCCATCTTAGCAGGTATAGACAAGCAATTTCCAAACCCGTGAACTACGATAAGCTCAGGTCCATTAGTCAAGGATTTGAGGAGAATCTGGTTGTTCTCCTGCTCTGACTTGAAGAAGCACTCTTCAAATACACTAATTTAGAGGCTGAGCCTAGAAAAAGTCAGTTTATCCTAAAGCACTATTTTATTAGTTGGTAAGCTCCATATATTAGAGAAAAGCTCCAAAAAGTCCAACTTGGCCCACAACTGAAAAAAGTCAGTCAGTGTAGCTTATTTGGTCTTTAATATCCATGATAAAACAGAGGACAAATGAGAGCTGAGTAAGGAAACACGCAGGTTACAGTTGCCCTATCTGCTAAGGCTCAGGACAAAGCCCACAGCACTAAGAGAAACTGAGATAATCCAAAGCATGAAGGAAGCAAGATAGAGTGCTTCAAGCACAAGAGAGTTGGGTGCTGCACAAAAGAACGTCCCCAGAAACCACCTCACCCTTGCTGGGCCCCTCAGAACACGGAAGAGGGTCTTTAGCACTGGAGGAGAGACTGTCCTCATTTCCAGAGAGCGGGAGGAAGTGGTCAGGAAGGCAGGCCCAGGCAGTGAATGACGGTGCTCAGGGCAGCCTGGACGGCACCAGAACCAGAGTATTCCTATCCATTCACAAGAGTGTAGTGTGGCTCTAGAAGTAATGTGCAAACAAATTATATTTATTGTGATACCGGAGCAACTTATTCTATTCTACTTTCTTATTGGGGTGAATTTCATCTCTTTCAAAAGTTATAGGGTGCCTTGATGGAGTTAACCAGACAGTTTTATGTTACCTCCACTCTGAACTGCTGTTGCAAAGATTTCCTTTTCCAAGCTGTCTTTATGGTGATACTAGAACGCCCCAAAACCAGTAATTGGAAAAGGCCTGCTCTTTCTACTCAGGGCCACTCTAACATTCAAACCTCTGGCAACCCATGTCCTAGCTGCTAGGGACTCAAGTAGCCTGACCCCATGGGACCTGATGTCTTTGCTGAGGGTTGATCCCCAAGCAGGGTATGATAGCACTCCAGAGAGAGCTGTTATGGGCACGCCAGGAATCATTCAGCTAAAAGGCCCTAATCTATACTTCATAGAAAACATTATTACCTTAAGAAAGAAACTAGGCAGGGGGTAAATCTCCTGACTGGTAACTTTTTGGCTACAGAGTTACTGGAGTCGTGCCAGTTCCCTTGAGTGTATCCATTTTATCAATAGTCAAGCCATTGAGAGAATTTTGCTTACTATAAGATCTCAGAGCCATCAGTGAGGTAGTGGGACCTATTCATTCATTAGTAGCCGAGCTATATACCCTTTAGTTCAGCTCCCAGTAGATACTGAATGGTTCTCTGACCTTGGTCTTAAGGATGCCTTCTTTTCTACCCACATAGATTCTACCTCACAATATTCGTTTGTCTTTGAATGGGAAGTTTATCAACCAGAACTTTGCCGTCAGTTTACCTGGACTGTCTTGCCTCAGGATTTCAGAGACTGCCTCCACCTGTTTACTCAGGCTTTAGAAGATCTAAGAGACTTAAAGTTAAAAAAGAGAGGTAGTTACAGTGTGCAAATGACCTTCTCCCTTGTAATCTTACTAAGGAGTTATCTGACAAAAATATTAAGATTATCAATTTCCTAGCAAAAAGACGTTACAAGGTATCCCAATTTAAGGCTCAGATTTCTCAAAAAAAAGTGACATATCTGGAATATATTTTAACTCCAGGACAAAGACAAATGTCCCCAAAAAGAACAGAGGCAATTTGCCATCTGGGCCTTCCAGAGTCTAAACAACAGCTGAGGGCTTTCTTGGGAATGCCAGCCTTCTGCTACAAATGGATACCTCATTTTGGAGTAATAGCCAAACCTCTGTATGAGGCAACTTGAAGACTAGAAAATAAACCTTTGAAATGGACAGCATCCACCCAAGAGACTTTTAAAGCATTAAAATGGTTTAAACAGCCCTCAGTTTTAGGAATCCTAGACCTAACTAAGATTTCTTTCTTCATGCCTAAAAAACAAAGAGGAGCCACAGGAGTGCTAACTTAGTGTCTAAACAAGGAAAACTGACCCATTGCTACTTTCCCAAGTGACTAGATGGAGTGACACAGGATTTTTCTGGCAAGGAATAGCTGCTGGGTTTTTTTGTTTGTT